GATATATTATTCTTCTAGAAAATTTGAAAAAAATTACCCCTTAGTACACGTTCTTCATCTTTCAGAAGAGTACCCATTTTCCTAATAGCACCCAACCATGGATGCATATCTTTGAATATCTCTAGGGAAATATCTATAACTATTTGATTTTTGTTAAAGTTTACTTTTGTTTAATTACCAGCGGAAGAAAACATATTACCTCTTTTGTTTTTTTAACGTATTTTAAAAATACAGTTGACAAAATAATGCCTATTTCTACATGTCAAAAAAATGTTGAGAATATATTAAACTAAGTAATCCATTTTATTAAATATTTAAGCATTTCCACCTTTGATAGTTACTTAGAATAATTTTTGTCACTATGAATAAAGCCTTTGAGTCTACACTAGGGAAATAGCTTTATCGGTTAACCATGTGAATATCAATGTCTCACATGATTTACCAATGTTTGGAATAACTGTTCTGTTTGTATACTAGTATTAACCCAGAGAGAATTGTGACTCTCAAAATGATCCTTAATTATGGTCTTCTATGATCTAGGTTGAATTAGTTTAGATTAGTAACCTGTAGCTTCCAAAAGAATACGTATTCCAGGGAAACGCACAGTTTTGAAAATATTTAACATGTCTTAAAATAAACATTACAATTATTCTTAATGTAATACAGGTTATTAAAAATAATTACCAATTATAAAATCTATTATAGTAATAAATAATATACAGATATCTCATCCTAACACTTAAGTTTTTCCTTAGTTTGCATTATTTGAACAATTTTTGTTATACCATACAAACTTGGTTTTATACAGTTTGTTTTTAGGAGATTTTATAGTGAAGCATATTAAACTATAAAGATTCCTAATTTTAACCTCCAGAATGAAATATTTCTACTGTATAATCTTGAAGACAATTAGTTTACTAGAAAAATTAATTTATTTTTATGAGTAAGCTAATTAGCTTTTTTCTATTGATGTGACTGAAATTAACACTTTTTAAATAAGTGTATTGGTGCTATAAAATCACATGTTTGCTGTGGGCACCAGTGGAATTGTGGAAGAGAAAAGAGTTTATAACTGCAGAGATGTAGTGTCATGTATCTGTTTTACTGTTAGTTTTTTTATTATTATTATAGAGTTAGTAACTTCTTTGAGTTTTCTTATCTGGAAAATGAAAATAACATTTACCTGGCAGGATTTGTTTTAAAGATTAAATGAGAATGTAGATCTTAGCACAATGTACTAGGCAGTAAGGAAATAATCACTGCTACCCCCGCTGGACCAGGGAGATTAAAAACGTACATATAAAAACAATTCTTTTATATTCTTCTTGTTTATAATCTTTACCCTGAATTTTTATTTCTTTTTAAGTTGGTGGTGGTTGCTTTTGATGATGGTGAGCCTGTGATGTCCAGCAGTGCCACAGTGAAAATTCTTGTTTTACATCCTGGAGAAATCCCACGTTTCACACAAGAGGAATACAGGTATTGATTTCTGTCTGCTTTTGATATACATAAACTGTTTAGTATTTTGGGGGGGAATCTCTCAAAATTGATATAATATGAATTTATTAGTGAAGTGGAAATCCAATTCTATTTTAAGCTTTTCTAAGTTAACATAATATTTGTTTTAAAGTTTAATACAGTTAATGTAACAATTTAGGATAAAAATATCTGTTTTAGTAATGCTTTGATGAATAATAGATACTTTAAAAATAATTAACGCAAGCTTTAAAAAAATACATTATATATTTGGGTTTAAATTCAAACTGATTAATGAACTTAATGGTGAGAAGGGGACTTTTAGTTTCTCATTATGGCCAGGTAGAATATATCATCCAATTTCCAATTTTGACATGTAATCTGCAACGATATTTTTCATCCAGTTAATGTGTGT